GTGCTTAATTCCCTTGCGGGATAGTGATACTGCGAGAAAATATGGGGTTTAAAAGGGCTTAGAGAACAGCGAAGACCGAAATCATAAAACGGAATTTTCAAAAATGTAGCTCATTGTAGCCGGCTATTAGCGCGCCTTTAGCCGAAGACGTGCTACCTGGGTAAGATCGCAAACCAGTGTATACGTGTAGGGATTAAAGTATGAGGAAATTCCGGTCAGGGACCTGGAGAGTAACTTTTGTCGTATTACGTAATGACTTTTCCTACTGATAATTATAATATAAAGTATGATGAAATAGCAATAGCTTTCAAAAGTTTTGTGTTATTCGGTTAGTATCTTTTTTCCCGTTTTACGGGTATGCCTAATTCTTCCTGGGCAGTTTCCCAGTGCTTTCAGGTAGAGCAAACGTTTCAGATACACAATGATGGTATTTAAAATGTATTTATTTGCTCGGGCAATTCTTTAGGGCGGTACTCGAAATTGCTGTTGCAAGAGAAGTTGGAAGTCAGTCTAGTTAGAACAACCCCGATTTCCAGTTGGACTCAGCTAATTCCCGTTTGAACAAGTTCATCGCACCACAAAAATGGTTCTTCTACAACGTTTTTAAATGCAAAGTCCTATCCCTAAGCCACAAGAGAATATTCTCTTATTTCCTCCGAAATCAGCAGGTATCACATAATCCAAGTGAAAAGGATTTAGGTACTATTGTTCAAGAAGATTTAAACTGCTCCATCAATTGCGGTAATGCTGCTGTGAAGAATGTCGGCTTACTTAGGCAAGTATTTGGTCAGTTTGAATTAGCACTGTTCCCAAATTTGCTATCAGTTTACACTCGATAACACAAAGTACGCCATCCAAGCTTGGAACCCATGGTTGCAACGTGGTCGCCAGATGCTTGAGCGCCTCAAAGAATGGCCATCAAGATGGTCAATCGATTGCATTACCTCACCTATGAGGAGAAATTACGATCGTTGAGACTATATTCTGCTCAGTACCGCCGAATTCGGGGAGACTCGATTTTGACGTAGCAAATATTGGAGAACCCAAACCATCCATGTCGGCAGCTGCTCATGGCACCCAACAATGTATACCTTAGGGGACAAGGTTTCAAGTCACTAATTCCAAGTGTTGACTAAAATGCCAGTGCCATTCTTTTGAAGTCAGAGTGTGCAGTACTTTGAAACCCATCCATCTCATATCGTTTGTGAAGCAAGTACTGAGTCTTTCAAGCGGAGACTTAATGAAACCTTGGTACACCTCACATTGCTACACCATTAAGGCAAGAGCATTGAAGCCTACATTCTCTATTATCTCCTATCTAGAAGTTTAAGTGATTTTTTGACCGTGAAATGATTCAATTGTGTAAATATCCTATGGGGACTAGAGCAGCATGAGCCTGTAAGTAATTTCCATAATAAAACTTTGACTGATTTTGGGTTAGTGTATTCTGTCTTATTAAGTATGAAAACCAATCTAAAATGACTATTTCGAAGACAAAACCCAAGTCGCGAAATGCTTCATGCCGACCTCACTGCACAGTTCACGTTCCGAAAAGGGACATATCCACAATCTCTCCCCAGTTGCGTTCACAACACCACAACCTATACTTTGAACTTTAAGATTCTACCCAAAAGAAGGTGATGGCGTTTCAAATAAAAGTGGAGTTCGAAAACCTGTGTGATCAGGCAAATATCTTCGAACGAATTGGGCGGGAAAAACCGACTGATATCCGATAAATAGTGGTGAACGTTTTGCACTCATACCTGTATGCACCCATAAGACAACAACTTACCACACAGCATGACACTATCAAGCCACAAATGAATTGAGGATGCTCGAATTCGAATTTCTGAGATCCAAAAATCGTTTTTAATTCGTCGTCAGGAATAAAAAATGGCTTTAGAAAAATGAGCCGAATATTGTCGAGCGAGAGCAAATTCAATCTGACCAGTACACACGATAACATCAATTACGCACAAATCGCAATTACTGGGAAACCTCATAGTCTACGATCATTTGGAGGTTTCTTTTCTTCGGCTCAGTTGGAACCTAAGGGGAACAGGAACACCATAAATGAGAGGTGTACTCAAGATCCACCACAAGCAGGAACTTTACTCAGACCAACATGATGCGTGCAGAATTCACCATGCCACAAAATGACTTGATGGCCGGTAGATCGTAGTCGTAAACTCCTGACACTTCATTCTGGTAAAAACTTTTTCGAACTTTCATACTTATTAGCAATATTTTATTCAGGCCTCTCGTCAAATATGTTACATTGCAGTTGTTGCCGTTTTCACAAACGTCCTCTTGCATGAGACAGTAGAATTTTTGTGTGATTATAGCTCTTTAGAGTACATTCACTTACCTTCACTTCCCTTTAATGCTGGAAAGACCTTATCACTTTGTGTACTGAGCGAATCGTACATTTTGAATTTGAAAGTACAACTCCCAGGCAAATTGACAATGTAGCCGTCCTAGGGGACCCAACCCTAGCTGATATACTTTTACAATTGGTTAAAAGACATTTGACAATTGGTGCTGATTTCGTCGAAACCACAAGGAGACTAGAGGGAAACCTTGCAAAGATGTCTACCAAAAGACCATATGGAGTAGATCTTAGTTAAAATTCTCTAGAGCATGCAAAATAGGTTTGGTGCCAACTCTATTCCATCGGAATATTTGAGCTTCTGACACACTTCAGAAAAAAGAGCACTTTTTATGAAGGACACTATTGGATAATGGTTATCTGAGAAAATTTATGAATCGCCCTAGAGAATCAGGCTCATCGGTTGATCTCGCCTGCGAAGTGCCGGATAAAAGCTTCTTCCCCAGATTGGTCTTCAAAGGTAATCCGCGAATGAAGGACGTGAGTATGAAGATCCAGGTGGCATTGTGTCAGACACTTCCTTAAGTACAGCGGACAATTCTGCTTCACATGTCGTCTAGCAGTTCACCCGCTGACAGCACCGCAGAGCGAATCGGTCTCTGTTACGATGGGTGTTCGAACACATGACCGAACAGTTACCACAATGACACCGATCGATCTCATAGGTCAGTCTGATAAAAAAAGAAATCCAGGGCCATCAAACACAAAACCTATGACGGATACTGCATACATCGTCGTTTAAGCCGTTGCTACTTCACATAGATCTCAGGGTCTTAGTATTTAACCGGGTGATGCTAATCAAGTTGCGTATTCTCATTTTGTGTGCACAAACATTTCTGAACCATTGAGAACAACAACGTGGCGAATAAGCTAGTTTTTAGTTATTCGTAATCATGCCATTACGCAACGTTAAATATGACTAACAATAAGAATAAACAAGGAATGAGAGATTCGAGTCCTAATAGTTTAGCTTCGGCTCCAACCCTGTGGGACTAATGAAACGTTTGAAACAATCCAAATTTCTGAAACAATCAATCAAATCACTGTTGAACTGAATCAGGAATTGATTTCTTGCATCCTTTGACTTCACCCCCGTTTGAATAACCGTGGTTACGAAAACGATTTTATTTAAATAGTAGACTATTTCTACATTGCAGCACCTTGGGTGGGTGAGATTAAAAGACCTTTTAACATCTCGCATTATTTGACTTCTGTTTGTTATAATGTGTATTTAAATGTCCATTACTGATTATTTAAGAGCACCCACCTCTGTACACCAACTCCAACGTAATCTGTCAATTCCAATTGGGGTGCGGAGACATTTACACAGGCAGAGCAGAAGTCAATTACGTAATCGGGTTTTAGAACATATTCCGAACTGGGTTCAAATCCAGGTTGCCATATCAAGGTCCACTCAACAGGTAACCGGTAAAGATCGTGCCTACAGAACACCAAGCTCATCGATTGCCAAGCACTTGTTCATGATGCAACACACCTCGTTTGTAGCGAAAAAGGATTTGGACTGATTTTTACTAACGCTAGAATGTTCAAGATTACAAAGACAATTGCAATCAATCGATGAAAACCAATTCTGTGTCAACAAAAAAGACTTGTTCATCACCTTGACTGTACCTTGGTGACGCTTCCCTCCATTCACATGTGTTTATTTTGTAATCCATTCCCAAAGCCAATATAAAAATTATGTTTGTCTGCAGTAGGTACCAGTTGAGATGCAACGAAATCGTCCAGGACACCTTACTCTAGCAGTGTTGTTATACCGGATTATCTTTTCATATTATTAGCACAACCACCAGTACACCCATATTTGGAATGAAACACTCTGTTTTACTCATGCATAATACATTTTTCGTAAATACAAGAACAGGCCCAATTTTTACACAAGTATTTTGCACATGTTCAATAGAAATAAGTCAATAGCATGAAAAAAAGAGGAAAATTCATCGTGACAGAAATTTCAACACAGGAAATTATTGTTTTGTTCACAAAATCCCTCCTCACTTCGCCCCACCCCATGCCCGCTTTTAACCCCCCGTCAAAAAAAGAAATGCGTACACAAATCGGAATGTCCCGCTTTCCGTTGCGTCACACAAAACCACCGAGATTTGTTTAGGTCGGAACAAAAAGGACAGTTTGAAAACTCACAACCCCACCTCTCCGACAGATAATAAACACAGAACAGACAATTGATGAAAGAAGCCTATGAAGAATGAAAACGAGGTGAACCGGGTTGATAGTTTGGAGACTGGTGAGTGGTTTCCTTTTGTTTGTCTTAAAATAAACGACATCAGTTAGAAACGAGTAAAGCAAAGGGAAGTGGCCAAAGAACTACCTTACGGAATTCGTTTGAGGTATAAAAAAAAACAGTTGGAGGTAATTGAAGGAAACCGGGAGGAATGCCAGCCAGCAGTACGTGATTTTGTCTCGCATTGCACTCACCCCTTTCCAGGGCATTGTCTGGTACATACGAAATCACAAAGCTTGATATTATCTCACAGTGAAAATATTTGAGGAATATATTTGTGGAATTTCAATTGGTTGTACTGCATCCCGATCCCAAACACACACACATCGTGATCTGGATGGTCACTCACTAGTGAGGGGTCGAAATACCGGTAAAGTTCACCCGGGAAACTTTACCACTACCCATCAGGTGAGATACGCCTTCCTGTAAACATTCTTTCGGACATTTTTCAACACCACCATGGGTTACGTTTTTCGTTCTCACTCCTTCCGGAATTCGACAAGCAGACATGCATCTGGCTGAAATTTTCGGTTGCAAAATAAACACCTCCGATAGTCGGGGTAAGTGTAAAAAAGGACATCGACCGTGTCCCGGTTTCAGCTGTGTGAATGGAAGTCCACTGGCACAGAATTGAACTCGCCAAGGTGGCAAATGAGCCGCGGTACCGATCCAGACAAGTTGCGGTACGGGCACGGGACCGATTCGGGGCACTTCACGACTGATCTGTTTCACGCGAGTGATGGAGCCACTGTGGGATTTACCGGAGATCAGACCTGTACTGTTATGATTTAGACCATGTTTGTGCTCGGTAACGTTTACCGTGATGGAATGACTGAGAGAATTGGACACGGATTTATGTGATTTCGGTACAGTTCTTGTCCCGCGAAGGTTGAGTGTGGTACCAGGCATTATTCGATCCCGTGATATGGAGTTGTGAAATTTACTGGATACGTTCACAAACGCGTTGATTCGTAACAAACATCGAGGGAAGTAAGCGTTTTTCTGTGAGGCAGAAAAAGTAGTGCAAAACTGATTGTGACTAGTCAGTCTTCATTGTAATTTTGTAAGATGTTTCAAGCTGTTTATCACAATCCTAGAATTATCACCTGAAAGGCTTCTAAGGTAACAGGACAAATAGACAGTGCTTCGGAAGTTAACATTAGCGGATGCGTCGTTCCTGTGGAACTCGGCTAGTTTTTCTGTCTGATCTAATAGAAAAAAAGATGAAAAAANAATGTGATTTCTTTTCCTTTTTTACAGTCATGAATGATATTGCCTGCCTGAACAGAGAGACTCTATATTAAATCAAACCAAAATCTCCAAAAATTATCTACCTTTCACGGCAACAGTTTTACATGTTCTTCGTTAATATTTCCCAATGTAAGGGGTATTCAGACAGGGTGATTGTGATCCATTTTTTACTGGGAATCATCATCAGTACTAATCCACCGAATTGATCGAGATTCAAACCCAAAACGTGGTTTTAATAATTGGGTGCAATGCTTGGTTAGGACGCTTGGTTCTGGGGATTGTTGATTTGCGTCATGTGTTATAAACACGGAATGATGGAGGTTTTCATGAGCTAGACAAATTGCACGATTTGAGTAGAATTGATTGCGTCACCAAATTTCCATCGACTACAATTATCATTTATTGAATGAGTTATACGCGGTGAATGATCGCAAGTTGTTTAAAACGACAACATTCCCGTGTTTAATGGCGCTGTAAATGATGCCGAAAGTCAAAAGCAACTCATTGTGAAATCGACCAAATGGAATCTCGAAGATATTTTCTGAACAGAAACGAACAGGTTCAGCCGGAACAATTAATCAATTAAACTTACCAACAAGATAGGGCGTCCGTTTTTATTGAAGCATAAGTAGCGTTGGGAATGAACATGTCTCATATAGGTGCCGGAATATGTCGGCACACTGATCCATTCCCATTCAACTGAAAGAGATCGGAGAAAAACGCAAGCAATCATTGACATGGTTGAGATTTTATTTATGCGAAAGGATAGCCGTTTGATTGGCCGACTCAAACATTGTGCTAAATCTGTTCAACGTTTGACAAGTGAAAACGGATGGATTGTCTCCATATTGATTTTAACCAACCACCGTGCATCATAATTCACCTTCACACACGATCCTCAGTTCATCCGCTCTCCTCGTACCCAAACCCCCGTTCGAGATGTGAATTCGGTGCCTCGGGTAAAAGACATGCGCCTGGAAATGTGCCAGCCAACCGAGGTCAGAGGGATGATCTCTCAAAATCAATGATCGATAGATTATCCAACTACTCTTGAGTGCATGAGACCTAAATTGAAATCAATACGACTCTTCCCATTCATTTGAAAATAGATTAATGAAAATTAAAACTTCTATTTTATTTGTTCTAGTAGAGTCCATTAGAGCGGGGAGAGGGGGGCGGGAGGTAGTTTCCATTCAGCCCTTGATTCGGGATAGTCTTCCGGCCACTCCTACCCTCTTTCTCTTTGCTCATTCACCTATCAACAAACGGTTTAACAGTAGTTGTTTAATAGCTAAGCCTGAGTAGCTAGGGGAGAAAGTAAATGTATTTTTTCACTCACGATAACTACTGTTCAGGTAAATTTTAGTAGTTAAAAAAATCGATAAATTGATAAATTTTTGCTGAGCCAAACAAACAGTAGGAAACATTAGCCTCGGATGCTTGGAACCTCGTGCACTTCTGCCGGATTTCCGAGTGACCATTTCCAAAGGGATGTTTTTGTTTAAACGATTTTACGAGTTATTTATATTTACACAAAGTTAACTTAGAAATCGCTTCAGATATGTACAGCTGTGGATTAAATTCGTGCAAAATCCCTCTCATTTTGGAACTACATTTCAGTCTTCAATATCGTACTTATATTGATGGTTTTGGGCAAACTGTAGTTCTTGTATCATGGTTTGAATTTACGTGACCTTGAGTGTTGCGATAAAATTTATAGTGGTTCGAAAGTTACGGTTGAGATTTTGGAAATACTTTAGGCAAAGCAGCATGGGAATTCATTCTTTTTAATGAATGTTTTTTGTTCCATGTGAGTGTTTATTAGGTTTATTAATTTATTTTTTCAAATTTATGCAGTCTCTGGAGAGGTCAAGTGTGCTGTTAAATTCGTTCAATTACCGCGAAGCAGATGGGATTTTTATTTAATCTAAAACTTTTCCCTGTATCAGAAACAGGGATAAGTTAGCTATCTCGACGTTGGTCGTCAGTGGTAAAGGTGGGTGGTATCTTAGAGGAAACTGGCAAATTCTGTTTCCCAATCAGCTTGGTGAATTTCAAGCCAAATGACTGCTTGCAGTGCTCAAAAATGAAGAAGAGCAAACGGAACATGGACGAGATGAAAGTGTATTACCTGTATGAAGTCTATGAGTCATTTAACCAGATAAATTCTAGTTATGTTTTATACGATGACTTTGTTACTTCACAACGGATACACCAGCAACCATCGTCAAAATCGCGAAACTTTACATTTTAATGGCATGTGGCATGGCATAATCAGTGGCATAGGTGGGTATTATATCAGATATGTTGCTTCTGATGTGAAGTAATATCATCATAATCAACCCCTTTACTGAGTATGGAAAAACAAAGCATTAAGAGGAACAAATGTGTTGTTGCACGAGTTTGGTCAATACCTGTATTTCAATTACACTGCGCTCAAGCGATCAAAAGAAGTTAAAAAAAGTAGTTATTTGGTGAATAAAAACGACCGAGGACCCAAACGTAAATTACAAACAACTAATTAATCGGTTTGGTACGAGGAACACAAGCGCGCAGTTGCTTCTACTTTCCAAGGCAGACTACATTTCGTGCAGTTTTTCGGTTGTTTTTCGCCATAATTAGGAGTGCCAAAAGAGAAAAAAGAAATGAATTCAAGGGATTGGCGAAACCCCAGTTGTTGATACAGTGATCATGAAACAAGAAATGTCAGACACAGGGTGAGGAGTGTGTTACAGGGCGGAATTACGATCCATTAACAGAGACGGGAAAATTAGCCAGTAGGACTTCACGGTTCAATGGAAGGAAATTAGCACTGTTTAGCATCCAATTAATCAATACAAACACAGCAAGTTGTATGGTTAATTTATAATATGCACTAAAAATGCAGAAAGCTCATTAGTTATTGATCGGCTTTCAAATATAGAAACAAGCATTGCATTGTGTCGCGAAACGCTCAACCGTTTATCTTTGATAACAGTTTATACAAGCTCGCTACCAACTCCAAATATCATGCATCAAAAGTCCACAAACTGTTCAGACTGATTCTTTTGCCACTTGGCGCACTGATTTGGTTACCCTGGGATGGGGGTGAGGTGAGAAATTGAAACTCCATATTATAATCTTTTACGTGGCAACCACCTGTGCATCCGAAACGGTTTCACACAAAAAGATCAGACATTCTAACGCATACTGTCTAGAAAGGCAATAGTAATTGAAACGAACAAATTATCAAATAAACAATATCAGGTTTCGTTGATAAACTTAATCGTATGTTATGTGGTTATATCGAGAAAAATCGATTTTGGAGGGAAATTTGCCAATCATCAAGTTCGTGGTTTCTAGACTTTCAATGAGCCAGATTAAGCGAGCTTTGCAATCCTCTGCATTGTCTGAAATCACCAGAACTGCTTATCACATGTGGGATAGTATATCGATTAAATACAATTTAAATTTTTGAAAGTACCTTGAAACATTGGTTTTTCAAGTGCAGCTCTAAAGGCTCGATTGTCTTATTCAATACTTATTAAAAAATTGATCAGTAAGACGACCATTGTGTAGGAAAAGTTGTCCAGGCACAAGGCTAATCATACGATCGGTGGAGATGGTTGATTTTAGTGAATACCCGTTCAAGGGTTTTTCTTTGACTTACTTAACGCGCTGAATGGATTTTTGATGCTGGCCGTTATCAGACGATCCTCTTCAGATGCGGTCAAATATGCTCTAGCAACTGGACTATAAAATCGATAGACTGGATAGAGATCGCTCGGAGCGGTTTGCGGCCGCAGGATCAACCGGGTTTCAGCTCCGCTGTTGCTGCTCCCGGCGGCGGTGTTATGAATTCGGAAACCGAGGGTCTCGTACTTGGCCAATTTGGATGCTCGTGCTCCAGTCACCAAATTCTGTTTCACTCCATCGTCATCGGTTGGCTTAGTCAGCGGTTTGGAGGATGGTCCCCGCGCCGATTTTTGAATTGTCGATTCAGTTTGCAACAAACTTAGTGTGGATAATAATCCTATAGCTGGGACGTTCTGGGTTGCCTGATAGTTACTAGGCATTGGGTAACACAGGGAGAGCTGTAGAAACAAAAGTAGACAGTTTTGGCGGTGGTTCAATGCCCAAACGAAATAACTTAATCTTTGATCAAAACTTGTCTGTGTTATGAGGAAAAACGTTGGGTTAAAATTAAATCGGGAAAATCTCGTTTTGTCCATTGGATGGCTCAGTCTTTGTAAGTGTATCTTAAGCTACGCTTGCTGAGTGTTGATGTTCTAGCCGCTCACACGTAAAGCAGGCCCTTCATTTGAGATTCGGAAACGTATGACAATAGCAGACCGTTTGTCTGAGTGATCGATTGAGACTCACCATATTGTTCCAGAACGCAAAATAAGTTCCCACCCGTAGTCAAGATTTGCTCGTGAACTGGACATGTGCTAGATGCGGTGTTATTGTTTCTGGCCAGAACATACTGGTTCAGATTATTGGGGAAATGAGTCAATTATCCATCAAATTTTCAAAGACATATTCACCAAATGAGACGAAAATAGGCCAGAATGATTTGGGAAGGTCGGCTGTAGTTAAAAAGCTGCTTCGGTCCCTTCAAACCGACAGTATTGCAGTTAACTGGTTGAACTTCCAGTGACTGGGTTCTAAAATGCTTCAATTTTCCGAAGTTTCCGGACGTTCTCGGACTACGAAAACCCTACTGTTTGCAGACGATGCCAAAATATGTAGGGCAATAACAAACCAGAAGGTTCATTTGATCTCCAGTACGCACTTGACGAAACCCACAGATAGTCTGTCTCCAATGATATGGAAATAAATGTTGCCAAATACAGCGTCCTATCACTACTTCACAATGGTCGTTTTTCCTACACTTTCGGACACGAAGCTCTGCCTCATGCTCCAGCCGAGAAGGATCTGGGAGTAGTCATTCGCCCAGACTTGAGTTGCTCCGAAAACTGTACCAC